TCCTCAGCGATTTGTTTCGAGAGTAAACAGGAGCTCATCTGAGTAACATGCTAGGATTCCATTAGTTAGACTTGCAAACAAGTAGTCTTAGGCTATTCTCTCTAAGATCACCGTACTTAAAATTTCATACAATGTTTTTTACTGTTCTGTAAGATTGCAAAAACGCGACGTAGTTTTCGGGGAAAGTGATGGAAAGCAGGATGATGGGCAAGGAAACTGATAAATGTTCTCTGGATCTGGAAAACATCTGTAAGAAGATCGCAGAGCTTCAGGAAGGTGTGAGGAGGGCCGACGAGGAAAAAGGAAGAAAAAATACAAAAAAAAAAAAAATCTGGTAGCTAATCTTCTTCTTTGAAGCTATTGATTTTTTACCAGCCGTCCAACTCTAAATTTTCCGGAGTCAAAAGCTTTTTCCGAAAAGAAAAATGCATCACCTTCGAACGCTATCAATATCGCCTTTCTTTGTTGCGAACATCATTTCCACGATCAGTTCGGACTCATGAGGCACGCCACGCTTTCGCGGATCTATTTTCTTAGTGTCCGCGTGCAACAGGCTGTCGTAGTTGTGGAAATTGAATGTATCAATGAGCTTCTAAAATAATAATGTTACAAAATCACTTCGAATCACAAAATCACTTCGAATTATCAGAATTATCATTTTTCGAAAATAATTTTTTAATATTTTTCGCTGATAAGTTATTTTATGTCGGTCTCAGAATGGCAACGTTTCAGATGATATGACGGCGCTCAATAAACACTAAAGACATCTCAAAACGACTAAAACTTGTTAAGTACTTCTGTCCGGAAAATTATTGAATTAGCAGTCTCTTCAAAAGACGAAACGAACGTTAGGATCGTCAGCACGCAGACCACTAGATGGAAAAGCACCGGTCAAAGCGACTAGAACAGTTGCCAACTGCAAGTTGGAGAACCAGACCGTGAATTAGAAAGCAATTTTAACCATCCCATGTACTTCATATCAAAATTATCGAATTTATAATAAAATCTCGAATTTTGCATGTACTTTCTACTTTTTTCTGACAGACTTTACTCGCAACAGTTATTCGATGATTAATCAATTGATTTTCGTCTTTGAAAAAAAAAGACAACATTTGGCACATTTCCAAAAATCATTCTCTTCGAACCCAAAACAGATTTTCGACCTTAAAATTTGAGAAAACTGCACCTGGCAAAAGTTAACGCCACGAATACTATTGCCCATATGATCCAAAGGCGGTGACCACATGCAGATGCCCATCAAATTTGGTACCACAACAATCATTGCTCCGGAAGCACCAGATTTTGCTGGCAAACCAACCTAGAAAATCATTCTGATTATTCTTCGGACGAAAAATTCACATATATTCCTTAGGTAAGTTAATCATACCTATATCCTGGTTTCTGCAGAATTCTAAAAACTTGTGAACATACCCCAAACGCAAACTGGCCACTGTAGTCATACATTCCGCATGAGTACATTAATGAGAGCACATCACGACATGGTCGAGGGCTGATGCATACTTCATTGGTTAGTGGACAAACACCTGGAAGAAAATATATCATATGTCGGTTGCTCAAGCCGTTACAAAAGAAAGTAATAATGTGGTATTTAATAGTAACAAGAGTAAAGACAAGCAGTGTTGCCAGAAACAGCGATAATAAGATACACTTGTTCTGTTGCGAAAGGAACAAGGTGCTAACGGCAAGGAAACGAAGCTGCACCTGTTAGTGACATGTAACGATGTGATTAGAAATGAAATGTTGATTGTTTCTGTGCCACAAGAATTGTGCGGCGGCAGCTTGTTCGT